TGCTTCAAAGCTTTTGTTTTAAATATATTCTTTTGGATCATTGTCTTTACGGTGCTATTTATAATATGCAAATGTTAAAACAAGCACAAGCACATGTTTGAATTATAAACCCTAGTTGAAGGGAGGACACACTATTCCTAGCGCACTTTGACAATGTTAGCCCTGCCAAGGATGCAGCTGAAGGGTCCTGCTCTCTGCCACTGTCATCATCCTCAGAAGCTTATGAGAATTATCTCTGCGTTCTAGATTAGGAGGAAAGGTAATTTGTCTTTTAGGGAAAGGGTAAGCAATGGATTCAGCAAAAAGGGTACAAAATTCTTATACTATAAAAATATAGTGTAGATGTAAGTAAATTATTCAAAAATAAATTTACCTAAATTTCCACTACTTGTCTAAAAAAAATAACAATAATCAGAGATGTCTATAATTATCCTAAGTAAATTCATTAAATTTTTTCTTTTCTTGTTTCTAAATGTATGGCTTTTAAAGGTAATGTCCTAAAGGCACTGTTTTTGTGATAATCAAAAACGAAAAAGATGGGAGGTTATCACCTAAATACCAGAGGTCCTGCTTAGCCTGCTGCAAGGAGGTGACAGATGAGGTTGTCAAATCTTGTAGCAAATTACCCGACAGAATTTTGCTTCCTATGGTGATCTTTTACATTTGACAATTCTTCTCTGTTTCAAGATGATTTAAACATACAGTTATGAAGAAGATCAGAGCTTTTAAATCAGTGTGTCTTTATTGCCAGGAGTACAAGTATCTTGCAATGAGTTTATACACAAAATAAATAGATGAATCGTGTATATGTTTGATCACATTTGCTTTCCTGTGGTCTCTTCCGGGGAAGTAAAATAGTAGAAAAGAGGGAAAGTTAGGAAAGGTGAAGTTTCTCCCATTGTCGTAATTCTATCTCTTATTCTCCAGTTTTCTCAGTCTGGTCATTATGCTCAAGTTTCTCATTCTGGAATGGAAGCTTCATGTGAGAAGAAATCACCGTCTCATTTTTTCTCTTATGTAATCTCAACTGTCTCGAAAGTGCCCAGCATGTAGTAAGCCCTCACTTTTTATTTATCAAATAAATAAATCTACAAAATGAGATTACTCAGAATAATTGCTTCATACTTGGAATGAGTATCTCATGGGGGAAATGAGACAAAGGGATTTAAACCCTCTTGAAAACAATATTCTTATGAAGCCAGCTCCAAAGTGATGCTACAGTTCAGTGGTGCAAACCTGGAGCACAACTGCCACAGTGGGCTGCTTGTAACATTGAAAGCTCTAAAAGGGTTGCCATCACTGTTAGTCTCTTTATTTTATTGCTTACGCAGGCTTCCAAATCAAAATCGCCTTTGAGGACAGAAGACTTGATGGTGATTCAGAACTGGTGTGAAGCCTAGTCTCGGCCTTCGTGTGGCCTCAGCTCTCCTCTGTCATGTGGTGGTGAAAAGCTCATGAATCCCAGTTTTAACACTAGTTAAAAGGCCTTGGTCATGTTATTTAACCTTGGATGGTTTGATTTCCTAAAAATGGGGCGATGGAGAATACTAGCTGGAGGGGTTGCCGGGATAAAGGGACATAATTGCTGTAAAGGCTGTTGCATGATACTGCATGTGTGATGCACTCCATAGGTGTTAACTTGCATTGCCTTTCCAGCCAAGGATTCCTGCTCAGTTTACTGTTTTTGTCTCTTTTTCTACTTCTATGTATTAGTTTCCTATAGTACCATTTTGAAAGTACCACAGACTGGTCTAGAACATCTCAAATCTCTTTTCTTGCAATTCTGGAGGCTAGAATACCAGAATCAGGGTGTTGGCAGGATCATGCTCCCCTTGAAACCTGTGGAGAGGGCTTTATCTCGTATGTTCTAGCTTCTAGAAGCCCAGACCTTCCATGGCTTGTTGCAGCACAATCTTTATGTCCACAGTCTTCTCTCTTTTTATATCTTCTTCCCTCTCTCTCTATCTCTGTCCAAATTTTACTTTTGACAAGTTATATTGGATTAGTACTTGCCCTAATGACCCCCTTTTAACTTTTTGACATTTGTGACAACAGTTTTTCTGTTTGTTTTTTTTGGTTTTGTTTTTGTTTTGTTTTTTGGTACCATGGATCGAACTTGGGCCCTTGCGAGGAAGACTCTGGAACCACTGAGCTAAATTTCCAGCCCAACAACACTATTTCTTAATGTGATTACATCCTGAGGTACTAGAGGTTAGGCCTCCATTATATTTGGGGATATAAAAGGGGTACAATTCAACCCAAAGTAGCATGATTCTATTTCTTTCTTATGGTGTCTTTCCTTTTATACAGCAACAGATTCAGAACTTTTGGATTTAAGCTCCCAATAATTATATAAAAAAAGATACTCAAACTCCTAAGCCTCTGTTATTTCATTATAAAATGAAAGGACTGAGCCAGGGATTTAGCTCAGTGGCACCACACCTGTCTGGTAAGTGAAAGGTCCTCAGTTCAATCCCTGGTACCAAAAATTAAAAATTAAAAAATAAAAAGAAAGGACTGGATCAGATAATGTCTACCACATATCCCTTCTCCAAAAGGTCGTGTCAATAATATGTGACTCTCTTTTCTCAACCCTAATTTGTCTCAACTCCCATTGATGCTTTGTGTATTTTGCTATCACTGTAATTAATAATAAAGGTTCTGATCACCACAGAAAAGTGTGCAAAATAATGGATATAGTAATTTGCTTGATTTAGGAATTGCGTCACAAATGTATATATCAAAACATCATTGTTATACATAAATATGTATGTAATTTTAGTGAAAAATAAATGATAAAATTAGATTCATTCACAGGAAAATGGATATATATTGAGTATATACTCCAAAGTGAAATAAATAAGTCACAGGTGTGTAAATACGGAATAGTTTCTCCGGTGTGAATAAACTATTCCGTACATAAGATCCTAATGAGATAATTGACCATGTGAAATAGGAAGAAAATGGCTAAAGATGTAGGGAAAGTGGGAAGGGTGAGGGAAAAGGAATAACACAAAAGAAAAAAATAGAAATGAAGTGTTTGTAAATGGGGAGGGGAGGAGGGGGTGAAGAGAGGGCAGGAACAAGGGGAAAAAATGAGAACCAAGACCTGTCATGTAAAGGTACAAGATCCCAATGATGAATGTAAACTGTACTGTATATATAAAATGTACCAATAAACTCAATGAAAACAAATGATATAAAGAAACAAGTTGTGAAATATCTAATCATTTTCAGGTATCTCAATTCTTGGATTAAATTCCCACTGTCTTATAATGCCAGCAAATGGGTTACTGCTTTTTGTTATATGAAAGATTTACTATATTTAGGTTATTAAAATATATAAATGGTGCCAGTGAGCCATTTTTGCTATTTGATTTTTTTGTTTTGTCTTGTCTTGTTTTTTGTTTTTTAGAATTTTGTTCAATATTGCAATATTTTTATTAACATATAATAATTGTATTTATTTATGAGGTACAGTATAGCAATTCAGTACATGCATATGGTGTGGAATGACCAGATCATAGTAATTAGCATTTCCATCTTTGTAGGTATATATTATTTCTTTCTCCTGGGACTTTTCAGCTCCACTCTTCTAGGCCTTTGTAAAATATACAATAAATTGTTGTGAATTATAATCTCACTACTATGCTGCATAAAATTATAACTTATTCATCTGATATTTTGGAAAATAGTTTTTAATGCCAAGCATTCTCTTATTAAAATAAGGTATAAAGGTTAATGCTGTGTATATTTTTTACTTGTAAGATAATTCAACTTGTATAAAAATCATCAAACCAAAACTTCAGGACTAAGAGTTATGAGATATCCTTTTAAAGAAATAAGAACCATACTAGCAGGGTTTATGTTATGTACATTTTCCAATTATAGCACAACTTGTGTAAAAATCATAAAAGCATCAGGATTATGGGGAAAAAGGAACCCTTCTCCACTGTTGGTGGAGTGTAGACTGGTGCAACCACTGTGAAAATCAGTATAGAGATACCTCAAAGAAATAGGATTAGAGGTGCCATTTGACCCAGCTATTCCCTTGCTGGGTAGCTTCCCAAAAGAATTAAAAGAATCATATCACAGTGATATATGTGCACCCATGTTCATAGCAGCACAGTTTGTTGCAGGTAAAACTTGGAAACAACCCAACTACACATCAACTGGAGGTTGGATAAAGAAAATGTCTGTTTTTTTTTTTTAACTTTTGTAAAATGGAGTACTACTTAGCTGTAAAGAATAAGAAAGTAGAGGCATTTATAGCTAAATGGACGCATATTGAGGCTATTCTCTTAAGTGAAATAAATAGGACACACATTGTTTAAATACCAAATAGTTTTCCTAGTATGAGAAACTAAAAGTGTAAATAAGGATCAAAATGTGTAATAGATAATGAGAAATAGGAAGAAAGGGTCTAAAGAGGAAGGGTGAGTGGGAGAGGTAGGAAAAGGAAAGAAGACAAAGGAATAAATATGAGAAAAGGAAAAAAATGGAAACACAGTCTTTGTAGATGGGGCTGAAAGGGTTGAAGGGAGAGCAGGGGAATGGGGAAAAAATAAGAACCAAGATGGATTATGTAAAAGTATAAATTCCAAAGATTAATGTCAGCATGTTGTACACCTAAAATGTACTAGTAAAATTAATGAATGAAAAAATCATAAAAGCAAAGCTTAAAGGATTAGAAGAAATGAAAACTTAAATACTGTCACTGATTCCCAAAACAATTGGGAACTTTCCTGAAAATTTGGTTAGACTACCAATATGGAAGCATTTAAAAATCTCAGCTAGAAAAAATAATTGTTAGAAGAGAAATTAAAGGACGTTTTGCCAACTCTGGGTTGTACCATTTTAAAGTCCAACGAGGGCCAAAATGTGTTGACCACAGATAGCCTCAGGATCAACCTGGAGCATTGCTTGAGCAAAATTAAATTGTTTTCATTGCCTGAGAACTGCCGCCCAAGTGTTCACCAAACCGTTTCCTTTTCTTTCAGCATCCTCCATTCTCAAGAGGGAGAAGCGGCTGAGGACAAAGAATGTCCATTTCAGCTGTGTCACCGTGTACTACTTCACGAGGAGGCAGGGCTTCACGAGCGTGCCCAGTCAGGGGGGCAGCACCCTGGGTATGTCCAGCCGCCACAACAGCGTGCGCCAGTACACCCTGGGCGAGTTCGCCAGGGAGCAGGAGAGGCTTCACCGCGAGATGCTGAAAGAACACCTCCGGGAAGAGAAGCTGAACTCTTTAAAACTAAAGGTAAAAAACACCAACTCGCTTCTTGCCACGCCCCACATCCCTATAGTTATTTGAATCAACAATTTTTAGACTTATATTTACAAAATCAAACCGTGCATTTTACATGATACACTACCTACTGAGCCTTCATTTGTTTTTTATGTGAAACAATATAATGTCTTTCTTGGATGGTTACCAGACATCATTTATTCATCTATTCTGTAAACCTTCACTATTGAATATAGCTGGATTTTACAACTTGAGCTTGGACTGCAGCAAACATGTCACCAAAAATAGATGTAGCCCCCTCCCTAAAGATTAATAGCAAAGAAAATATTAATAAAGTTGTCAGACAAAATTAAAACTTTGTTCAGTACTGTGAAGGTCAGTAACAAGGTGTGAGGAAAGTAGATGGTAGGACATTAATGTGAGGCAGAAGATCAAGGAACGCTTCCTTTAATGTCAAATAATCTGAAGAGGTAACTAGGCGAAGAGGTAACAAATGTATGTGTGGTTGGAGCAGAGGCGAGAAGAGTAAAATGACATGCAGAAGGCAGGTAGGTAAGCCAGACTGAGGTATTTTTCCTTCTTCTTAGTAAGAGTAGCAAACATTATCAAGAATTTTAAGCTTGGGGTGATAATATTATCTATTTCAAGCACTGTGTGGAAATGGTGGAGGCAGGGAGAGATACAGTGGTAGAGGACATATGCAGTTAGCAATGGTGCAGGCTGTTCCACTAGTCGACGAGAGAGGTTGCCCACAGGTTGGGTGAGAACGACAGTAGGAGGGGTGAAGAGATGGATAGAGGAAGGCATTTGTTAAGTAAAACCAACAGTGCTTGATAATGGGTTGGCTCTGGAAGGAAGAGAGGGCAACAGTCAGGGATGACAACTAAACTTCTTGCTTGCAAAACTGAACGAATGTAGATAATAACACTGTTGGTTGTCACAGGAAGTGGCAAGGAACCCAGGAAGAACTGCAAACTGGGGCCGAAAAGTAGAGGATGAGTTTTTTTAGAATACTGAGTTTGAAGGGTTTTTGAGTTATTTATTAAGAGATGGCAGAAAGTTTACTTAGGTGGATATGGCTATTGTTGTGCCACTTTAGAGATTAAGTGAACGGAAATACAGTGCAGAAAATATCCTTTTATGACTGAACACACTTTTTATTTTTATTGGCCTATCACCCTATCCCTGCATAGAAAACATTCTCCCATTACTAATGACAAAGAAAATATATTTTAGATAATCCAGGTCCTTAACCTAACGTATCATCCAATAATCACCTGAAATACCATAAGAATACCCGTGCTACTTCAACCTTCACTTATGAAATCTGTCTGAAGAGGTGTGATATGTTTCAAAACTCCTAATTTTTTGTATATTTTATAATTTATGTGTGTACTTTATTTCCTGTTTCATGATAAGGTGTTGAATTAAGCTGGACAGTCTATCCTAGAGCAAGTCTCATATTTCCTTTTCCAGCATTTTGTTTTGTTTTGTATTTTGGTACCAGGGATTGAACTCACGACCTTGCACTTGCAAGGCAGGTGCAGTGCCACTGAGCTAAATCCCCAGCCCATCCTTTGCCAGTATTTTGACAAGTTTTATGGGAAGTCCATTAAGTTTTTGGTATAGCAATTCACTGGAATAATTATTTTTATGATTGTTTATATGTAGTTCAGTTTAATAATAATTATCAAATTTCCTTCTGAAATCTATCCTCTACCTTTGTAATCTACTGGAAACCAACTCTAGCCTTTACTCACAGACTGAAGTCCTTCTCCAAATACAAATATTGGTAGAACAGTAGCAGCGGTTACCAGTCACTGATGTTTATTTTCCAGGCATTTTATAAACAATATTTAGTCATCATAGACACCCAGTGGGATTGGTAAAATGTTTCCATGTTTACAACTGAAGAAGAAGCACAAAAATGTTCTAGCAAGAGGGACTGTGATGCTGAGACCCAGAAGATTTACTGTGGTGAATTTTGAGGCACATTTTTATGTGCTTACTATTAGGGGGAGCCACAAGTCTACAGCAACCTTCCTCCACACACGGAAGCAATGCAGCCTACGACTATAATTTGCATCCAGTACCTTTTGGTTTTGTTGGATACCGGAGATTGAACAGAGGACCTTATCACTGAGCTACATTCCTATCCCTTTTTTAATTTTTTTAAAATTTTGAGACTTCATCTTAGTTGCCAAGTTGCCCAGGATAGGCTCAAACTCCACCTCCCACAGTACTGAGATTATCGGCTTCCTTCTAGTGTCTTTCTTTCTTTCTTTCTTTCTTTCTTTCTTTCTTTCTTTCTTTCTTTCTTTCTTTCTTTCTTTCTTTCTTTCTTTTCTTTCTTTCTGTCCTTTTTCTCTTTTCTTTTTTAAACAAGCTGAATAGGAAAAGAAGAAACAAAAAGAATATTTTGTCATTGATTCATTTTTAAAATTGTATTTAATGTCAGAAGTTAGAGAGGCAGTCAACAGAGTGGATATCATGTTTGTTATATTTCAAATGTAATTTTTTCTAGTATATTAACTTCTATGGTTTTAAAATATCATTGATTACACTTATCTAAGGCTTGATTATTCAAATGCAAAATTAGCTACTAAACACATGAGCTATCCAAGACTTTCAATCTGGTACATGAAATTTCACTTTTAATATGACATTTATTTTGAAGTATAAATCCTTATGGAGTAATCAACAAAATAAATGTGACTAAATTGATTCCATTATTTTGAGTTGGGTATCAGAAGGGTAAAAGAGGGATCCAGAGAGGAAAGGAAGAATTGCTACAGACTTTACCCACTGGGATTTTGCCTGAAATGGTCACCTGGGACCAAAAAAATGGCCTGTTGAGTAAGGACAGGGAAGGCAGCACTCAACAAATTGAACATTTCCAAAGCCCTCTTTAGGGAGACCAGGTGAAATACCAGGGAAACTCACTGGATTTGGACTTGGGTAGTTTTCAATCTGCTTATTTCAGAACAGCCTTAAAAAGTGAAGAGAGATTTTTCTCTCACTATACCTCCATATTTTCCCAGGGCCTCTCTGCTGAGTTCCAAATAGGAGACAATTTATATCATGGCTTATCTCCCAATGGGAGAGAAATAGGACAAAAAAAATACACATTACCACTTCTAGATGTTTCCTTATATATATATTTCTTCATAATAAATATTTTGAAGCAAATTAAAAGCAGAAAATTACATTTTGATTATAAAATTGTTTCTCTGTAACAACTCTTCTAAGTTGTGTTACATATAATATATACAAAATAGTATATACAATTAGATTTATAGAAGAAAATCAGTTCTATTGGAGTTCAAGTGCATCTTCTTAGTTGGTGGTGTCAATGTTTTAAGCATTTTCCATAAGCAACTAGTGGAGGAAACTGATTGAATAAAATGCATGTTCCTAGAAGAAATAACTAGCTTTAGATTTCTTAATTACAGAGCACAATCTTTTTTCTCTGTCAAGCCCATTCAAACATGTCATACACTTCACAGTAATCAATGCAGTCATCTTCATACTAGACTGTTTTCCAAATTAAGTGCTTAGATTTCATCATCTGCATCACACTGTTGAACAGTTAGTTATGTTAGACTGGGTTCCCATTCTTCATGTAGCTATAAAATGCCTTAAGCAGCCAGTTGTACGTTCTGTTCAACCAGGCTCTGGTGTTCTAGCCACCTTTGGGTTCTGTCCTACTGGATTCTCCTGCCCCATACTGGCACATTTAATCTAGCTTCCACAGCTTTGACTTGTCTCTCTCCATGTTTTTTCAAGTGCAGTCATTCTTTCTTTCCTCTCTCAAGTCAGGAATCTGCCCATACTCCATTTTCCATCACTTTCTATGGTTATTCACTTTTCTCAGTTTCTCAGTCACGTGTTCCTTGAGTAATTCTTGAGTTTCAGCATTCTTAATTTTTTTAAAAAGAAGGGTCAGATCTTTTAATGATTAACTTTTTTAAAAACCCTAATGTAAATCTTCTTCTCAAATATCAGGTTTGTGACTGTTCTGTGCATGTAGTGGCTTTTCCATGCCGCAGTATTTTCGACTCTCCATTTAGATTTGGCATTTGCATCTCTTCAAAAGTCTTATAAATAATACTACAGGTAAATAAATATATTAAATGCATAGAGAGCTATCAGGGACTAGAGGCTTGTGAGAAAGGTATCTGAAATTTAGTTTCAAGAATTTTGGATGTTTTTAAAATTATTATCCCATACCATAACTCTCTCCTAGTTGTGTCTTAGCCCATTGGTCATATTTTGGACTCCATTTGTCCCAACAGAATTTTTCTGATAAACTTTATAGAGATTGTTTCAGAGGACACCTAATGTCAAAACTTGCAGAATGCAACTCTGAATGGAAGCCTGCTTCAACACCTAATGGAAAAAGTGGCTGTATCAAATGACAAATTACTGAAATTACAAATTACCAAACCAAAGTGATAGGAACTGACAGGGCAGGCTTTAGCTCTGTGCATATGTGATATATTTAAGAATAAAGTCTTTCAAAATACTGCTGGTATCTTTTGAAATGGAACAATTAAGCATAAGTAGTTAAATCTTGAAATTGTTGCTGTGAACAAAGCATTGATCTTTTAATTCAGGGAAATCAATTTCACTGATGTCACCGATTTAAATGTGAAGTATGTCCAAATGCTCACTAAAGTGAATTATGTACATCTCTTCCCAATGGTAGCTTGAAATTGGCTGTGAGAGGAATATTTAAACCATGGAACTTGCCAAACACAACAAATATAACTTTCATTTAGAATGCCAGCTGTTAAATATTTACCATCATGGTAGTGGATTCATTCTAGTGTATTATCTACCACTGAAAAAGGTAATAATGCTTTCAACCAGAAAAAAATGATAAAAGAATTTAGCAAAAGTGGATATGCCTTATGTAATAGGGTTATCTTTTCTGGTAACTTTTGCAATGTTATATATTTAAAAGATTCTTTGTGACTTCAGGTTGCTGACAGGAAAAAAATCCTTTTTGA